TCTTTCATATTCCCGTATATGAAGGTTTTTCATAGTTGGGAGAATTATTTTACGATGTCGAGTATTTATATGTACGCGGCCGATTTTACGAGACGATTTAACGGCCTTTAATAAACTTGAATTGTCTCTGAATGAGGAATATTGTGGGGCAGCTAAGATATCAAGCGAGCAGCTTTTATAATGTTCTGTTCAACAACGAGAAGGCACTAAGTTGGGACTTCTCTGATACGTGCTTCACAATAAATCACAAAGATCATGGTCGGTGCACTGCTATATGAAAATATCCAAAATTATGAAACAGAAATGAATATATTGCAATGTATCTTGTATGATAAATGCGAAGTTGAAATATAACACGCTTTAATATATTTTTACACGCAATCGACTTCGACGACTTGCAACTTACAATGCGCTTTCGGGCCTTATAGCTTTCCTGCTGTATTTATAATTTATAAATGCATTGTCCATTATAAAATGGGCCAGAATAGAGCATTGGCATTGGAGGGTTAAAACAATATAATTTGGATGATTTGCATTGCATGAAAGATTTGCGATGAATATCGTTATAATATACAAGTGATATTTATAGCATATTGTAATTCATTGAATAAAAAATGCATTTTACAAAGTATAATTGAAATATTACTCTTTATTTTGCTTGAGAATTTTGATTCACAAACAGCGAGTTACATTGGATCGGCCATTGGTATCACTCACTTCAATTTGCGAAGGATTTCATGAGCCAAACTCAAAGGCTATTGAAAGTTGAAACTACATGATGTGTTTTGTAATATGGAATTCTGCAAAATCTCACCGCCAAAACGCTTGAAATCGCATTTCAGAGACTCTAGATTTCAAAATTTTCCGGGGGGGGCATGCCCCCAGAACCCCCTAGCATGTCTCACGCCTTCGGCGTTCGACTTATGTTTGAAAAATCCTAGATCCGCACCTGAACACAACCTCTAGACCAAACATTATACAGGTATTCAAAAATGGATGCTCGTAATAATGTCGTAAAACTTGCAGAACATACCTCTAAGAACTTTTGTGTTTGAAAAGTCTCCGGACACTCAGAACACTTGAACAAACGCCTCTTGTCCCGGATTGGAATGCCACGATTTTCATGTTTTTTCTCATGTTTGCGTAAGTTACTAATACTGGAGAAAACTTTGGAACAAACGTTGCACGTCACACGAGATGACTCATAGTGGAATGTCATATGTTCCTTTAAATATGAACTAGTGTAGATCTTCTTGCATATCGAACATTCTGCTGTATGTGCTGTTTCCATATGATTGTGTCGCTCTTCCATCGTATTGAAACCGCTTCTACAGCTGGTGCACCTAAAAAGCAAGTACATTTCATTTCAAGATTTTTGTGGCATCTCACTCGAATGAATAATACAATACCCATCAAATATACTTCAATTCACCCTTTCATGCCTGCATTGTGAAAATGACTACATAAGATTTTTTTCCAAACATGGAAACGAGGGTATTGGGGCCAAAGTCTGCCTCGTACCAAGGCGCACCCCCC